TATTATATACGTCAAGCAACCCTAACAATTGCAAAAACAGACACAGCATCAAGGTAAGAAATATCTCAAATAAGGAATAAAAAAGTTTTTGAATTTTCAATGCAATAAAATGTTATTTCCCCAGTAAATGGAAATAGCACAAGATGAGCCCTGAATTTGACTAGTCTTCTGGATTGTAGAACTTGTGTTATTTGAGTCTTATCCTTGTTGGAATTGGTTATATTTTTTTATTTTTTTCATGCAGGATCTTTGATCTTTTCTTCATTATTTTCACACCTTCACTGGGAGTTGCAAATTAGTTTAGCTTATTACCTCCTTGTTTACTCCCTGCAGAAGCGCACAGTATCTCACCTTAGCTGTTACAGTAAATATACGCAAAGGGCCTTTTCTCTGCAAACCAGTTGAGAATAAGCAAAGTGTAAAACACAAAAATAAATAATACACAAACAGGATGTGGAAATTTATTTTTTTTACAAAGTTAAAATCATGAGAAAAGAGTAAGAACTTTTAGACCTATTTATCTGGCTGCCGTCCACTGTTGAAAAAGGCCAAGTACCGTAAAAGGTCAGAAATAGAGGGAAATGGGGTTAGAAAGGTAAAGAGAGGCCATTGTAGCTCTCTCATCATCAAGCATTTTCTTCACAAAGGTAAATGAAGTGCTTCAATATCAAAATGCTATGAAATACTAGGAAACAAGTGGTTTTACAGTTTGATTTAACGAAAACAATGTAAACACTAGCATGTATGGCAGGGTTTTTTAATTATTGTCTTCAAGATCTGGAGTCCATCCCTGTTTAAACACACTGCAATATAAGAAGCAGGACTCTGGAGAACATGACTCTACAATGAGGAGGTCATTCAGCCATTTCATTCAGGTGTGGCAGCAGACACGCATCTTAAAGGTGCAGAACACCAGACCCTGAAGAATTGAACAACCTTGACCCTGGTGCACCGTTTTTTCCTATTTGACAAATATCTATAGTTCTTTTTGAAGTGTTATCAGCTATTTTTAATTTTAGTTTAACTCAAAATAAGGATTTTGTCCTAAGATTAACCATTTAGTGTTTTCTGCAGACTTCATCTTTAGGAATTACTAGCCCCTTTCAGATTGAAGTTGTGTGATAAACAGACAAACACAAACCCTCCTTTATGGCTCACTCTTTGTAAACATATCCTAATTATGAATTAGTAATGAATCAAATCAGATTGATAAACTAAGGGACACATAAAAGATTTGAGTGTGTTGATGGAGCAGGTGCAGAAAGATGCAATTATGGGCATTGATCTTGCAGCTGTTTTCACATCTTCACATCAGTACAATCTGATCCATCTATTAATAATAATCAGATACTTTAACCTTTTATTTAGACATATTTAATACCATGGGCTTTTACTGTTATTGATAGAAAAACTCTTTGTCGTAAATCAACAAAGAGAGAAAGCATGCTTTGCTGTAACAGGAAATTAGCTTTCTGGCTAGATTAGCACAAGCATTTTTGTGGCGAACTGGAGTCAGAGACGAGGTTTAAAAGAGCTTTACCTCCTTTCAGGTTCTTTTGGGATCAGGATTTCATAAAGCTACAGTGAGCTGAGTGTTCCAGCTGTTTTTCATGCACTTCTTTTTCTGCTTCTTATTATTTCTCTAAGTGTTTATCCTTAACGCTGTTTATCCATGCATTTGAAGGCATTGATCAATGTGTTTCAGTTTATTATTTTTATTTTGGATATAGTCATAGAAGAAATTTCATCAAAGTAGTATTTTATGATAAAAAAAAAAAAATAAAGTAGATAATGTAAATATAATAGAGAAATACAGAAAAGCATGCTCAAGATGTGATTTATCATTAACTTTATGTATCTAAAACCAATACAGTATGAACTTCTAGAGTTTCTACAATTAATATTGTAAGAAAAGGAGGACCAGGTCAAACTTAATGTACGTGTAAAATATTTACATATTTTCCTCAAGATAAATAATTTTAGTTTTCTATTTCTTTTCATCTTAGTGAAAACACTGCAGCAAGTAAATACTGTCAAACCATCTAGCCAGTATTTCTACAGCTTTGTAACATCTCTATTCATTTTCTAATGGTCTAACTAAACAAAGTTTGATTCTGTTGTTATAATTTGACTGATTGTTTGACTGATGCTGTCTGTAAATTAAAGTAGTTTTAATTTAGAAGAGGATTTCAACACATATCTTTTAAATGAAACAGCCTAGTGAAGATCTTATAAACATTTTAAACATGGTCAACATTATATCAGTACGTAATACTACTTCAGTAGTGGCAATATTAGTTGATGATTTAATGTTTTTTTTTTTTATTAAACTCAATGAAATGATATTACAAAGTGTTTACCTTATTGTATCAAAAAATCTAAAGCGGATTATTTGACATGAGAATATTCTAATAAAAACCAAACATTTATGCTATGTTCACATCGGATGCGCTATGAGCAGCAAAAAAACATCTCCCGCTTCGTTATTGATGCTTGTGTGCATTAAGGTCCGACGCACATCAAGAGCATCTTTAATGCTCATGCAGCAAGTCCAGTAAAGTATGTCCAGATTCGTCTGATGCTTCTGCTGCTGTGTTCAATGGCAGATAATGACGTTGCTATATTTGCTGTGATCAGTGGGTACAAATATTTTTAGGCTAGAAAGTCCACCTCAAAACGTCGTCTGTACAGTCAGTTCATCAAGATTATGATCCTGCCTTCAAATATTATTTCGCTGTCTGACAGTATTTGGCAGCACTGACGGTATGTGTGGGTCAGAGCCACTCAGACCCACACATACTGTCAGTGCTCTGTCACTGGCAATCCCCAGCAGCAGCTGCCTCAGGCCAAGTCGCCTCTTGGGGATTTGCCTCTACTCTTTTTTTTTTGCAGCTGAAAGTACAGGTGCTGGTCATAAAATTAGAATATCATGAAAAAGTAGATTGATTTCAGTAATTCCATTTAAAAAGTGAAACTTGTATATTATATTCATACATTACATACAAACTCATATATTTCAGATGTTTATTTTGTTTAATTTTGATGATTACAAATGACAACAAATGAAAATCTCAAATTCATCATATCAGAAAATTAGAATATTACTGAAGACCAATAAAAACAAAGGATTTATAGAAATGTTGGCCAACTGAAAAGTATGAACATGAAAAGTATGAGCATGTACAGCACTCAGTATTTAGTTGGGCCTCCTTTGGCCTGTATTACTGCAGCAATGCGGCGTGGCATGGAGTCGATCAGTCTGTGGCACTGCTCAGGTGTTATGATAGCCCAGGTTGCTCTAATAGTGGCTTTTAGCTCTTCTGAATTGTTGGGTCTGGTGTATTGCATCTTCTTCTTCACAATACCCCATAGATTTTCTATGGGGTTAAGGTCAGGAGAGTTTGCTGGCCAATTAAGAACAGGGATACCATGGTCCTTCAACCAGGTACTGGTAGCTTTGGCACTGTGTGCAGGTGCCAAGTCCTGTTGGAAAATGAAATCTGCATCTCCAAAAAGTTGGTCAGCTGCAGGAAGCATGAAGTGCTCTAAAACTTCCTGGTATGTGGCTGCGTTGACCCTGGACCTCAGAAAACACAATGGACCAACACCAGCAGATGACATGGCACCCCAAACCATCACTGACTGTGGAAACTTTACACTGGACTTCAAGCAACGTGGATGAAGTGCCTCTCTTCTTTTCCTCCAGACTCTGGGACCTTGATTTCCAAAGGAAATGCAAAATTTACTTTCATCAGAGAACATGACTTTGGACCACTCACCAGCAGTCCAGTCCTGTTTCTCTTTAGACGCTTCTGACGCTGTCTGTGGTTCAAGAGTGGCTTGACACAAGGAATGCGACAGCAGAAACCCATGTCTTTCATACGTCTGTGTGTGGTGGTTCTTGAAGCACTCACTCCAGCTGCAGTCCACTCTTTGTGAATCTCCCCCACATTTTTGAAGGGGTTTTGTTTCACAATCCTCTCCAGGGTGCGGTTATCTCTCTTGCTTGTACACTTTTTTCGACCACATCTTTTCCTTCCCTTCGCCTCTCTATTAATGTGCTTGGACACTGAGCTCTGTGAACAGCCAGCCTCTTTAGCGATGACCTTTTGTGTCTTGCCCTCCTTGTGCAAGGTGTCGATGGTCGTCTTTTGGACAACTGTCAAGTCAGCAGTCTTCCCCATGATTGTGTAGCCTATAGAACTAGACTGAAAGACCATTTAAAGGCTTTTGCAGGTGGTTTGAGTTAATTAGCTGATTAGAGTGTGGCACCAGGGGCCATCAATTTTGAACCTTTTCACAATATTCTAATTTTCTGATATGATGAATTTGAGATTTTCATTTGTTGTCATTTGTAATCATCAAAATTAAACAAAATAAACATCTGAAATATATGAGTTTGTATGTAATGTATGAATATAATATACAAGTTTCACTTTTTAAATGGAATTACTGAAATCAATCTACTTTTTCATGATATTCTAATTTTATGACCAGCACCTGTAGATGTTAGGGTTTTTTAGGTGTCTGGTACAAACTGCAAGCACCAGAATATAATAAAAATTACCGTAGTACATTTTGTAGACAGGTTTCAAAATGTTAAGTAATTTAGGCATTAACTAACTGTTTCAGAGGAGGGATCATAGCCATCTGCATCAGCAGTGCTGTCTGTCTCCCTGCTAGCTCCCAGATCAGCTTCTCTGATTGGTTGATGTGCCACTTCACAAGCATCTGCTGCTGGTGAAGTGCGTCATGCACCTCTGATGTTCAGAAGCTCATGAATGGCTGCTCAGATGCGTCAAGATGCGCTGCTCCTGCTGCTCTGGACGCGCTACAGGACCTTTTGATGCACCTTGATGCGTGTCAAACATTGACTATATGTAAAACGCCTGCTTCTGATGCTCGAAGCACGCACGGTGTAAATGTAGCATAATTCCTCACAGATGCAAACGAAATGAACTGCTGCCGATTTTTCACCTCCTTAAAGTTTCACATCCTACCTCTGTTGGCCATGGCCGTCTCTATGATATCCAGTGTTGGGTCATCTTCACACAGGTCATAGGGCATGTTCCCATCTGAGTTGACAGCAAGAAGATCTGCACCACTGTTGAAAATGACAAACAGTATAAATACCAAGTTACTGTACTTAGGGAGCTTTTTGAGTTCCTGTACTTTATTTAAGTATTCATTTTTAGGATTAGTTTTTACTTTTATTCACTACCTTTGAACACAACAATTTGTACTTTATACTCCTTAATCAAATCTCTGATAACAATAAAGACATAAGATGAGAGTCACAACAAAAGAGGGGAAAATCAAGGGTGTAAACACAAACTGTCCCGTTGGAGCTCTGTTTGTTTATATAAAAGCACTGATAGCAATGTAAATGAAGGCACAGGGCTGGGAAATAATGCAGATGACAGAATGGATTCTAATGAAAGACATTCCCCATCGATTCCAATTAGTTCTATTTTAAATGAATGTACATGTTTCACATTCTACTTCAATTTTAATGCTTTTTGCAAATGTAATCCTGTAAATTCCAGAGATCTACAGTAAAAGTATTCAAATGCTTAAGCAGGACTTTAGTTAAGGTCAATCTATATTATCCTTGTATTGTTTGTAATTGATTTTGATTTAAAACTAAACTAAACCAAGTCATTACTTTTATGTTCTCCCTACCAACAAGTTGATTAAAGATTTAACAGTTTTCTCTGCATAATATGTTTTTTTAAAGTAGCTTTTAAAAGTAATTCTTGAATTGATTATAAAAAAAACATAATTTTACTTTTGTATTAAAGTAAAATCTGGAACATTTGACATTGACTTAAAGGAATTCAATTGATTATTTTACTTTTACCAGAGCTTCAAGCAAATAAAACAAGTACATCTAGGAAAAAGGCAGGTCAGTATTTAAACTAATATGTAATATTCATCTGCTGTGGATACTGTGTGGATTAAACAGGAAAATTGTGTTAGATGTTAATGAAGGCTCCGGATGTGATGAATATAGGCAAAGGGTGACTAAAATGCTGCCACAGATGCTATTATTATGAGCTTTATTCTTCCCTCATAACAGTAACAATGTGGGTGTGAATGCTTTACTTTTATTTCTCAGAGGTTCTTCTTGGTGCCTGCACATATCTTGATGTTATATCTTCATTAGGTTATAATTAAAACTTAATAAAAGCCATCTAATTAAATCCAGGTGAAAAATATTGATGTGTGAGTCACAATATCCCAGCTATTCACTGTTAATTAAGGTGACAAAGACAGGAGCTTGTCTCAGCGTTATTAAATAATTAAAACAATTTTCATAATAGAGATGGACGGAAAGTCAATCAGTGATTGTTCTCCTTTGACACCTCTGCCAAGGACAGGAGAGACTTAATTATTATATTTTTTTATTTCTCAAATCTCTTCCATGCTATTATTTTTCAAATATCACACATTCCTACGTAGTGTAACCCTTTTATTTTTGTTTTGCTAACTTTTTTTTCTAAACTAAGATTGCAATTTCTTCCACTCCTATGTGCATTATCTCCAATTTTGTTACTCTTTAGGAGAGAAAATTGTCCTTTTTCTCCACAACGAAATCAAAGAAAATCAATTCAGGCTCCAACAAATTGCTATTTTGTTATCCACTGCTGCAAATAAACCTAAAAACAAACAAGCTTAAAAATGTACCAATGCTGTTAATTTCTTTAGGGAAATTGTGAGTCCCACCATTCCCCTACAGCAATTATCAGTTCAGCAAGTGGAGCTTTAATCTGATTTAAAACGGTCTGTTTGCTTTTGGTTCCACTTAAGGACAAAAAAACTAGTCATGGGTGATACTTATCTGAAATTTCATAATTATAGCTTGTTTCTTTTTTCACAAAGAATGCAAAAGTAATACAGCTAAAGGTGTCTTCACCTGCAAAATGTCAATGGGTGCTGTTGTGGTACTGTTAGACAGCATTTGTATTAAATTATATACTGCAATCATTGATTTCTATGATTAAGTAATAGCAAAAATAGACTCAACACAAGTATAAAGCCACTGCTTCTGTTGTTCCCATTTGCTGAACCCAAAGATCTTAGAGTCTGTTTCTTTGTACACAAAAAGACTATTTCTCTAAAATATTGTTTACAGTTCTATCTAAATCTGTTTTGTGAGCACTTCTCTTTTACTGAGGTAGTCCATCATCTTCCAGGTGCAGCATATCAAAATGCTTATTAGTGTGTAGCACAGGTGTGCCTTAGGCTGGCCATGGTAAAATTAGCTCTCTTTTTTGTACTCTGTGGATAGAAACTGCAGTTGATTCAATGCGCCTGTCTTTGTTGTCTATAATAAATGTCTGCCCATACAATAACTCCAACACCACTATGGTCTGCTATGGGCCACTTGGTCCACAAAGCCGACATCAGCAAAGCGCCCTACTACAATGGCGTACATGCTGTCTGTCAACTGCTGTGTGCAATGAAAACCTGGATTCATTTGTAAAGAAAACCCCACTCCAAAGTGCCAGACCCCATCAAATTTGCCCTTTCAATGAACTTCGGTCAGTTTCAAACAAACATGAGGACAAGTATGTAGATGAGATTCCTTCTGATGATTTTTGACCGTTTAACCAGAAATTGCTTGTTTTTTTTTTGGTCAAATCATGTGTTTCATAATCTCCCAGGGTGCATGATGTGGGGCCATCTTAGAGATGCTTGATGTAGAGATTCTGATTTGGTGTGGTTACATGTGGTCTGCAGTACTGAGGCTGGATGTATGCACAACCAATCTCTCTAAAAAGCCTTTGAAGGCTTATGGTAGAGAAATGAACAATCAATACATGGGTAACAGCTCTGGTGGATCCAGTCAGTCAGGATCCCAATAACATTCTCACTAAACATCTTGCTGCATCTGTGGCAGTTTGCTGTCAGATAAAAACTCACATTTTAGAGTGGCATTTTATCATGACAAGCCTAAGGCGCACCCCTGCAATAATTGGGCTGTCTAATCAGCATCTTAATATGCCACACTTGATCAATGATCATCCTGATGAGAAGTGCTCCCTAACAGAGATTTAGATGGATTTGTGCAGGATATTTGTGCACAAAGAAAGACTTAGCTCTTTGGGTTCAGCTCATACTAAACGGTAGCAGCAACATAAGTGTTGCGTTCAAAACACACATCCTATTAGTCATGTTTCCATCCAATTGAGATCCGAATTTGAGCAAAAGTTTGAGAAGTCGAAAAAAGAAAACACGAAATCAGACATGATTTCATCAATTGGAGCGAATTAACGAAGTGATGCAAAGCAGAATGTTGTCATACGCTAATGTTACTCTTACCGGTATTAAAAAGGAGGTAGAGTTAACAAGGTACTGTAGTGGGGACCACAGATCAGTGATGGATCAGGGTTTTATTAAACTTGTTACAGGCAAGTTTTACTAATGCCAGCTAGTATTAACGGTGGTTAATGCCTTCCTGAGACATCGAGAGACAGAAGTGTGATTCTAATTCTGCATTCAGGACTGGACCTGAAGGCGCCGCAAAAAACGTATGTCTTAAAAGGTAAATATTTGCTATGTTAGAACTTTTTCAAAAAATTTGCTTCCATCTCCTCTTTAGTTCATTAACACTTTTTCAAAAAGGTAAAAAGAAAAAAAAACTAAACTGATGGTACAAACATCTTTGTGAAATTTATTGTATTTATTTGAGTTTTTTTTTTTTTTGCCGTTTCCATCAAAGTCTTCTAATGGGATTCGTTAAAACCCCCAAAAAGTTGATAGAAACATGATAACTGTCTATTTGAACTGTCTATTTCATACAAATAATAACTGACCTAATGACTGTCTGTCCCTACCTGAAGCCCCATACTTTTATAGTATAGTCAAACTCAATCAATCTACTAATCGACTTTTAGCTTTAATGAAATGTAATCTATTGTTGATACAGCTTTTGTTCTGACAAGTGAGCCTTTTAATTACTTTTGATTTTAATTAAGTGAGTTTAATATTTAAGAATTTATTATTTTCTTCTAAGGTATACTATATATCCATATATATTTTTTTTCCTTTATCTAAAACTGTTTATAACTTCAGGCTGAGTTCTTTTCGTGTCTCATCAAAATTTCTGGATGTCTACACATATTCTACCGGAATAGCTTATGCATGAATTTCTGCTGGATTTGAGCTCTAATCAGGCGTTTTTTCTGGTGTTATTCCTGCCAATGAGGTGCTTCTCCAGCATTTAAACTCTGTAGTCTGTGCTGAAGAAGCGCTCCAACTGCAGAGAAAGTCCAGTTAAAACACGATGCACATTCAGCAGAAAATATCTGGTGCTCATGCATGAAAATAGTCAAGCTCATTGCATTTAAAGAGATTTTCTTTAACCCAATAAAATTATGTTACCCTAAACTGTGGGAGCTATTAATAATTAGTATTATTTGTTTATAGGTGCTGAATCATTGAATCCTTATTCAAATTCATTTTTATCCCAGGGATTGATGCATTATTTCTCACATTTAAAGCTTCATAACATTAAGGTCTTGCCATAGGGGGATCGTGTGTGCTGATGTTGCTATTAGAAATAAAAGACTGCAGTGAGCAAAAAATAAGCAAACCAATACATCCTTCACTCATGTTTTTTGTCTCATTTATATTCTTTTCCTTTCTTGTTACTAATACCTGTATATTTGATACTGCAAATACTTGAAATTCTAAAACATCAGGTAATTTTATTGATCCACAAGATTGAGGTGTACTGATTAGACTTCTCCCAAATGCTTACAGTTTCAGATTTTGCTTTAAGTAATGACCTGTTCTTTATGATTAGAAGTTATTTTATTATGTTTTTTTAAGAGTTATTAAAAAAATATGCAGCAATTGTTCAACAGATGTAGTTTTTAAATACAAACGAAAGTGTTTCATCTTTTTGAGCATTTAATTAACCTGACAAAAAAGAGAAAAGCTGTTTATTTTTAGTTATTGATCGACCAATCAATGGTTGCAGCAACTTCAGTGGATAGAAGCCCACCTTATGTCAGACAGATTTTTGGTTCATCTTTAATTATGAGGTAAGATCTTAAGCAAACGATTGCCTTGTTAAAATAATACATTCTTGCAGCCACATATAAATGAACCACCAATTTGAGCTTTCACAAATTCAAACAAGGTACTGCTGTTCATTTTCTAAAATAACCTTGACTGCCTTTAATTTGGCTGATAAGATCTGTTTTAACAGTGCTTTGTTTTTTTAGATAAACAGAGAAAACTATTTGAACAAAAACACATTCCTCTTGTTAGGCTTTGTAAATGATGGAGCTTTAAGATTTTATGGAGACATTTCCAGACACCAGCAGAGGTAGTATATGATTCCATTTAACATGACTTACTGAGAGATGAGAATTTTGACGAGTCCTGCATGGCCGCAGGTTGCAGCAGCGTGCAGCGGTGTCCACAGTTCATTGTCCTGAGCGTTAACATTGGCTCCTCGGTCCAGCAGGAGCTTCACCATCTCTTCATAGTTGTCTATACAACACTGTGTGGTGAATGAGGAGGGATAATAAGAAGGGATAAGAAATGAATGCAAAAACAGTAATTTAAGGCATGTATAAGCATCAAAGGACATGGGATAAATCCAACATTGTTTCTCAACATTTATCATGACATTATTACCTGCTGGATACATCACATTAATATTGCAAGAATGGAGAAAAGCCGGAAGGAAAAAATTAGTTTGAAGGTGCCGTTTTTGTTCAGCCATTCTTCACTTGATGTGAAATCTCTTCTAATCTCCTTTCTGATGTATTTAAGATAGAAACGTTTCTCAGTTCTATTCCCAGTGTGATCATTTGTCTATGCGAGAAGAACTTCATACAAAAGTCAGTATATTAATTTTTTGTAGCAAAATGCTGGGTGGAAAACTGAGAACATATTAAGCCAATCTGGCAACAGCACATGAGCCTTTGTGTGGGCTGCTTCCTGGATCCCAGACAAAACTGGAAAAGCACCCAAAACTCACACCCATCAACAGAAAAAGCCAGACAAAGGCATGGAGGGTGGGAAACAATTTCCCTTGTTAAGCTGAGTGAGTGAGAAGCTGGGAGGAGATGGTGTCAGAAAACTGTTGGAAAAACTGTTTGTTTTCTTCTCCATCAGACCAAGTTGATGTGACTGTGGCTCTGGTAAGAATATGAGCAAAGACTGGGATAGAAAACAACAGAATAAGAAGCCACAAAAGCAACAGTGACAGATGAGATTGCTGTCACAGACAGGGAGCCCAAATATGATGAGAAAACTGGATGGCTCAGAATCAAAAGCTTTCTACATGTCTCTGTTGTCATCATCATGCCATCTTCAGTCTAACTGACTGATGTGATCTCCCTCTGCTGAGATGAACTGAGACATTAGTCACAGTGAAATAAAAAATCTCTCCAGAGAAATTGCTGATAATCTGATTACAAACCATGAATGATTTCAGCGACGATTGAGACAGAAATTATAAAGAACAACGAGAGAAAAAAGGCAAAATACTCAAAACATACTGAAAAACTGCTCATAGAAAAAGCTTTCATGATAAGGAAAAATGTGTCCGAGTAAAGTACTTAATGCCACACAAATTTCTTCAGTCTGTCTAAAAGTTTAAACTTCCCCTAATTTAATGTAGAGAAGATTCCCAGAGGAAAATGTGACAGCCCAAAATTCTTCTGTTCTTCATGAGATATATTCGGGTTTTCTCATCTAAGCCTCATTTTAGTTTCTACTTTGTCTAAAGTTTCTCTTATGTTTTCCTAAAATTCACTAGAAGAATTATTAATTTATTAATTTAAAGGAGATACCTTGTAAAACTTCAATTTACACATTTACACCAATTCATACTGTACGCACACCCCAACATGGTAAGCCTTGTTCTAGCCACAGCTACCGACAGAAGCTAAGCTGCCGCACACAGGCGCCACTGTGTTCTCTCACCACAATCAGTTCCTTTCACATACAACTTAAGGAACTTGGTCAGGGACAGAAAAACATTGAAAGATTCTATTAATATTCCTATCCATTAATTTAAACACTTTCTTTAATCACGATACTCTAAGGACGTAGTTATGTCATGATCTTGCTGCTGATGAATGACTGGATTACTCATTTCATTCACCTGCGTAGCTCCGCCTGTTTTCTCATTACCGTTTATCTTATCCACCTGATCCAGTTTCTTATTTAACCTGCCTACTTCCAGTCATCAAGCCCGAATATTCTCGAGCCAGTGGTGAGAGTGTACCAGCATTATCTGAGTGTTTCTGGTTACCTGATCCTGCCTCTCAATGACTGGGCCTGCCTGTTCCCATATAATCTGTTTGCCTGACCTGTCTATGGACTCCTGCTGGTTTGTGCCTGTTTACTGAACTTGGAACTGCTTTCTGTCAACAACCTGGATTTTCCTTCGGAACCTCTTCGGGCTTCTGATCTCCTGGTTTTGAAGTCTATTAAGTCAAGAACCAACCTAATATTTTTGTATTTTTTTTTTTTCAGTTTTCAGTCGATTGAATGAGATAAAGGTGAATAATCTGTGATCTACATTCAACAAAGTTATTGGCCTCAGATTATTGATATATCTTTGTCTTTTCCAAGTTTGGATAGTAATGTAATGACTTCTTGTTTCATAGTTTGCATTAAATTATCATTTTCAATAAGGTCTTTCAAATCTTTTAATAATAATTCTTCCCAGAGAAACATGAAAATTGGAAGTCAACCATCTTGGCCAAGTGATTTGCCTACTTATTTTTGCTTTACTGCAACATCAAATTATTCTATCTGTATTTCAGAGTTGTCTAACATCTTAAATGCGGAGTCAGTTCTAGGAATGTTGTGTTTAATGTTTTTCCGAAAACGATTATGCAGCTGAATTGAGAACAGACTGAGCTCAAAGAGAGAGCTTGCTGAGTTCTCGGTCAAGGTCACAAAGATACACAAAAGTTGAGAAAGTTTGAGAATTATATTTGAGCTTGTTGAGGTCTTTTCTGAAACTTGAAAAGAGCCTGCATTGAACCAGAGAAAAAACTGAGACAGTCTCATTTTGGTGTCACACATTCTTTTATTTGTCTAGGAGAATAGATGAAATATTTTGGAGATCTCACTCAGATTTTCCAAAATAAAATAAATTTAAATTTTATCTTCTATGTTCTTGGACCAGATGTAGTTATTTTAAAGATAGATAGGACTAAATATCCGACAATCGCAATAGAAAACCTGTTAAATACTTTAAAATAGGCAGCAGGATATACTGCAGATTTATTGCACCAACACAGTGTATGAAATATAGATATGCAGCAAAGACATGCTTGACCAATAAATACTACTTATTTTCTAAGTTTTAATGTGCTCAGGCTCTTTATTTAAGTAGTATATCTGGTATATTTTTATTAGGGTATGAGCAGGATAGAGGAAAGCGTAGGATGAGGAACTTTCTTACTCCATCTTCCTGTGGCCCTGCAGTGGATGGGAAAGCTGTCCATATGTTTTTTTTTTAACCTCTTGTTGAATTAATGATTGAGATGGGCAACATTATCACATAATCCTGCAAGGATAAGTGGGTCTACTAGGATGGAAAGTTGGCTAGACTAATCATTATATAGTTACTAAACTCCAAATGTAATTTTGATAAACAGGACCTTAGGGCTGCTCTCTCTATGTTACAGTGCAAAATATATTTTTTTATGCATATGTTTTTACTTGGAAGTCAGACTAATGTCATAGCCTTCTGGTTTCCCTCTGGATGTATTCTCCATTGTTCGTTCATTTATGACCACTCTCACAACCATGACAACTAAAAAAAAACCTGTTCTTCATGGTAATCCCAAAAACAAAAGGAACACGCTGAAAAAATAAAGACATGTAATTCAGACCCTATTTTGAGCAATGAAAGCTTTGATCAATTGTGTTTTTCAGGTGAGCATAACATGACCTATTGCACAGCAAAGCCTTTATTTTAGGTACTTAGATAATCTAGTCATATGTATTCATTGTCAGTTTCTCTTGTCCTGACTACCACACTAACCACCTCTGCAAAACTCTGCTTTTAAATGGGCTTTAAATATGCTTGAGTTATGCTTTCTGTTTGCAATAGACCCAAATAACAAAAATATTAATTAAATTCAATTCTGTTTATTTATATAGCGCCAATTCACAACACATGCCATCTCAAGGCACTTTACAGTTCACCAGATCATCCAGTCAGACTGATTCAAAGTTTTCTATCTAAGGAAAACCAGTTGATTGCATCGACTCATTGACTCGAATGCAATCCCTCAAACTAAGCATGCTTGTAGGGACAGTGGAGAGGAAAAACTCCCTTTTAACAGGAAGAAACCTCCAGCAGAACCAGGCTCAGTGTGAGCGGCCATCTGCAGAGACCGACAGGGGTTCAAAGAGACAGAAGCAGAGATACAAAAAGCAGCTGTAAAAGGCGGAAACCCACAGCCAGGCAGACGAGCTCCGAGCCAGCTCCCATGTCAGAGGATGAAGAGAGCACATCCAGCCAGTCACGGTGAGAGAAACAGGACCACACTGGAAAACAGGCAGATCTCCAGCATTACCCTTGTTTTATGATGTATCTACCATTTATTTATTTTTTAAAGTTAATGTCCCTGCGTGGCTCTCAGTCACTCTGTCGTCATTGGGATGAACAGGTAATGCATTTTAAATATCCATTTTATTAGTTCTTGGGTGCAGGAAGTGGATGCTTCCTCTTACTTGGTTTACACGGCATATGAGCTAAAGTGCCATCTCTAGAGGTTTGCGGTGTCTGAGAGAAGAAGCAGTCGCCAAGCAGAAAATAAAAACAAAAAGAGGAAATAAGACAAAAAAAGCATACAGACACACACACACGGATGTCACTCTGTGAAATGCAAAACGTGCTTCAGGTTGTACTCTGAGTCAGATGCATAAGATTTAAGAAGACTTTTTATTCTCAATTCATCTTTTGCTCTAAAACAAAACACATTAATTTCTGGTCTCTTTTACAACTTCTGTGAGCCAACTGTCCCAGAATCATATAAACTGCCTCAAAGTAAAAACAACTGTCAGCAGAAACTGCACTGTGTTCACTCAAAGAAAATCACATAAAGCAGCTCTAATTGAAGGATGCATTGAGAGAAAGACTTGGTATACAACAGAAGCGAGGGAATGAAATGACTGCATGAGAGGTGAGAAAAGAACGCTGACATGACAGCCGACTGACTGATAAGCATCACCTCCAAGCAACACATTTCCCCTGTCGATGATGCAAATAAAGACTTTGACATTTTCACTTTTTAAACCCTAAAACCAAAGTCAAATCAAAGCAAAAGTTTGACGGATTCCAAAATGTCGTTGGAAGGCTACCACTCTGAGTGCTTCGCTTTGTTGTTGAAATGAATGTTATGCATGTTAAATTTAACCTTAACTCCCCAACGTGAAAAAATGGTAAGCTACAGATACAGCAACTGCTAAGAAACATCAACTTTGTCTATAGGAAATGGTTGAACAGCTGATGAATGATATATG